CATGGCTTTGGCTGAACGTCACAGTGTAGGAGCCCAGAGCGTAACCCCTCCACAGGCCGTGGCGGAGTAGCGCAGTTGGTAGCGCCCTCGCTTCCCATGCCAAAGGTCGCGGGATCGATCCCCGCGTCCTCCACAGGCGAATATATTTTTAAATCCTTTATATTAAGTTCGCTGCCACGCATATAAAGGATTTATAGTGAAAAACTTTGTTTTTACGGGTTATACTTATACTTACTCCAAGCCCAGATAAACTGGTTTCCAGAAACCCATTATTAATTATTATCATTGTTGGAAACGTCATTAACCACCCTTGTGCCTCAGGTCAAAAGGTCACCACAAACAATAACACCAATGCCACCACACGTCACCATCGCTTCCTTCCTTTTGCCAGATTCCACAACTTATTGTGCAGATGACGTGCGTATGACCTGCAAGGGGTACAGCAGCCTGGACATTTAATAATCGGCTCTGTACCTTTGATGGCTTAACTGAAAGCAAGGCCACAACTTTGACGACAATCGTTTGAATGTGTTGTAAAAAAAATGTTACGTAACACTTGACTGTAAATAAACAGTTCTAAAAGTAGCAACCGCTTTTGGCTTCATCAAATAAGATTGCGCCTCCTGGCTGATACGTCACACTGTACGTGCCAGGAATCCATCTTTAGGTGCTTTTGTAACTTACCATTTAAGCATGTTTGCTTGGTCATGACGTCAAACGAAATGGGACCTTAATTAGAGCTTGAATTCTCAGGGGAACCTACTTCTAGAACTGCCCAAGGGCTGCGTGAATGACAACCTTTGAAGCAATCTCTTTTGGAGCTGGCTAAGAGCCAGCCAGGTCAAAAACCATAACAAACCACCAGCCACTGGGGAGCTCAAGGATATTCACTCGTTCTAGACATGGAAAAACTTACACTGTGCTTGACTACATCATAAACAATCATGACAGTAGTACAAGTTGGCCTTGGAATGGTAATATTAAACATTTTAGTTACACTTCAAAGTGTATATACATCTTTAAAAATGGCAACATGCTTATTTTGGAAAATCAAATTCCATGTTTTAGATTCACGATTTCCCAGCTAACAAATATTACCAAAGTACGGACGCACAATAAATACTTATGTGACTGTACGTACCAAGGGTTATTTAAAATATTCTCCATAGTCAATCCACTGCTGGATAAAAGCCCCAAAAGTATGCCCGCCATCTCACATGCTCCTGCGATGTAACAACCCACTGAGCGCCTGCACACAAGCTGATTCTATCGATACAAATTTTAAGAAAAAAAACCCCGTCATTGTCAAATGAATGTCAATTTTTTTTTAATTGACCAACAGCGCTTCCTCAAATATCAGATGACCTTCTCGCCAAACGACGTCTTTCTGTTTAGCAAGAGAAAGTAAATGGATTTTAAATGGAGTTATTAAAGGTGGAACGATTCAACGCCTCCCCTCCACCTCAATTTGATGAATTGTTTCGAATTCAGGGTCGCAATTCCGATTCAAGAATCAATTCTATTTTTAACATTGTGCCGAATGAATGTAGTGGCCGCTAGTTACTGCCGAGGTTATGAGAACCCACTGTACAGAGCGTATCCATACAAATGTGACCAAATTCAATGCTACACGTCTGATTTGAAGAATGTATCATTGAGCTCAGGAAGTTAAATTCATCTGTGAGTCATTTATTTCCAGGAATAATGTTAATAACCGACACATAGTGCTGAGCCCATGTATACAGAAACATATACAAAGAGACCTCCAACTACCACTTGAGTAAAATACAATACTGAATTGACTCAAAACCTGATTATTTTTTACAAACACATTTTCCCATATTCAAATGCTCTTCACTCACCTGCGATACTCACTAATGCTAAGAATCCCATTTCGCTTGACAGTGAACACTTATCCTCACTTTTTTATTGGACAGTGGCACTTACCAATTAAGGTAGAGTAACTGTAGAAGTAAAAGGGGTAAATAAATCATGCTCGCAGCACTGGCCAAAGCATCACAATTCTCTGTATTCATACAAGGCCGTTTTCACGTGCAGTCATTTTCCCACAAGACCTAGGGTTCACACGGGGTCTTAAACAAGGCCAAATATCCCACCAAATGCAAATACCATGCAATTACTCTACACTTCCAATTACTGTAACCTTGAAATAATGGGTTAAATTGTGGAAAGGAGATGTGGTCAGATTCCGGCAAAGCTTTTCGATTGCACCAAGCAAACTGCACGCGTTGACGCATGTTTCGGTCAATTAAATCAGGCGAAAAACGAGCAACTCCCTTGTCGAGTTGCAAGCTACCAGCCACATACATCACTTAAGAAGACCATGGCACCGCAGTCACATGCACGTACACACTGCAACAACAACACCAGCACGTGCTGCTCACTGCTGCAGAAGCCCTCATTCCCACCACCATCTCAACCATGTCATTCCTTCAGTGATGGCCGCTACTCAAGACTCCTTTAAAAATGACATCCCTTCTTCAACCGTACCAGGCCACTGTCCAACGATTGAGTACTTCACAGAGGACTATCTGGGAAACTGTTAATGAATCCTTAAACTCGCACACATGTTTTCAAGGTCCATTTGATGCACAGGCCAGGTCGTACTGACAGAAAATGTTGTTGTAAATGTTGTTGCAACAATACAGCAAATAATACCATCTGTTATAACACTGGCACGTACACAACGCACTGGTATACAATATGGCTCTCAAAAGCCACCCACGCATTAGGTGCTATCGAAAGAAGTCACCAGGCCAATTAAGGCGGCGAATCGACCTCCACTGCCACTCTGCTACAGCCCTTCAAGTGAATCGGGAGCCCTTTCATGTGAGGATGAGGCTTCTTGGTCCCATGTCTCACGGTAGACAGAAGCTTACGTCTGCATACTTTGTAGATGACGGCATTTGCTTAACAAGCCCAAGTGATGCGTGGTTGTGGTGGTGATGAGGTTCAGGTGTGATATGGTGTTGGGTGCAACATGGTATGTTTTGTGATGGTTTAATTTCGGTTGGCAGCACTGTGTTACCGAACACAAAACAAAGAAAATAATACGGTATTTGTTAAAACATGCAATATATCTGAACTGTGAAAAATCATAGTAGGTAAATGCATGTTTTTTTTTTTATGACTGGAAATTGGGGAATGATTACTTAATACATCACACAGCTAATGATTGCTCCAAATATACCTTTAAATACACCTGTTATGAAAACATTGCCAGCTATATGTGCTATCCTACCTACTAAATGTGATACTGACAAAATACCTTCTCTTCCACTGCAAATAACCAACTTCCTCCCTTGTCATTGTCACACTCCTCAGAAAATAAACAAGTGAGCACTTGGACGATGAGCATTTCTGCAAGCTCATCACAGGCACACACAGCAGCCTCGCACAACACACGGCCACTGACAGCCGCGTTTTGCTGCACTGCCCATCAGACTGCAGTCAGGGACTGCAGTCGAAATGTCCCTACAAGACACTGCAGACATCCACGCTGCTTTCAAGATTTTAAAGCACTGTGACCAGAAGGATCATAGTACGAGGACAATGGTGATTCTTGGGACCCTTCTGCGTGCCAATCTGCTGTGGAAGAGAGCGTTACACAGCATCCAGGCCCTGCTGATATATTCCATTGTTCCAGCACTAAGCGGGGCATATCACCGCCCTTCTGCTACACAGCGGGGTAAACACCCGCAAGTGCACGACATCATCATAATCATAATAATATGCTTTATTTACCCAGATACGAGGCCACAATGGGGCGACACCCAAAGCTCCGCACAGATGGATTCAATCCCCTGCTATACTGATATATCGTGCCAACCTCGCAGCCCTTAACAGAACCCGCAGCCCAATACCCATTAACAGAGCGCGGCAAACAACGCTGGCGTCGACGGAACCTGGCTGACCCCGGAAAGGGGACTCCCCCTCCACACACGCTCGGGGCCGAAGACCGAGGGAGTAGTGGAGCCCCAACGGGCGGCCCTATAACGGCCACGACCCTATAACGGCCACGACCCTGTAACGGCCACGACCCTATAACGTCCACGACCCTATAACGGCCACGACCCTATAACGGCCACGACCCTATAACGTCCACGACCCTATAACGGCCACGACCCTATAACGGCCACGACCCTATAACGGCTACGACCCTATAACGGCCACCGAACTCCTCCTGGAGGCCCCGCGCGGGTGACATCTCCGTGACCAAACACAACCGCCAAACAACGCGTACACACAAGGCCCCCCAAGGCCACCGCGACCCCGAGGGCCGCTGAGGCTCCGCCACGGGAACCAGGGGCAATGGGTACGGGGTGTGAGGTTCGGGTTCCAGAGACATTGAGTGGATTTTATTCGTGAGACGAATGGCCAGTTGTCCGGATATTTTGACAAGGGAAATCCGTGCTTCGGAAGCACAGGAATAACATAAGGGGTTGGGTGGGGGGGGCAGTCTGTGGACCTTGGGGACCAGGGTGTGGGGTAGGGAGACAGCCATCTGGGCTCGATGATCTGAGGTCGGGGATCTCGAGCCGAGGAACCGACGGTAGCGGAGGGGAACGAGCCGCGGGGGGGGGTTCAGAGACAGAGGAAACGCGAGTCTGGGTCAAGGGACGCAGGTGATCAACATCTGGGCTTCCATGGACCGTACGCTACGGACAGGCTTCTGGAGACCGGGGTTCGGTGTCCCGGGACCAATTTAAGAGCGGGGTGTCAGGGCCACGGTCCCGGGGTCACGGGGCCCTGGTCTCACCCCGCACCGCTCCGAATGTCACCCAACAGCAGCAGCAGCAGCAAGGGGGCGGACAGGGGCCGCGCAGCGCTCCGCAGTCAGCCTGCGCGTAATCGCCCTCACCCCCCACGGCCACGCACCGCGAGATGGAGCCCTGCGGCCACGCGGGGAGGGTCGCCGTGGGGTCCCCTGTGGGCCCCCTGTGGGCCCCCCGTGGGCCCCGTGTGGGGTCGCCGCTTACCGCGCTCCCCTCACGGAATCGCCGCGACGAGGCCCCGGGCCGCGGCCGCCATCTTGCAGAAGAGGCCTCTCGGGGGGCGTCACTGCGCATGCGCGCCGGAGGCGGGCCTCGCGCCGCATGCGCGCTTCCCATTGGCGGCGCTGCCCCGCGCCCCTCGGCCAATAGGGCAAGCGCAAAGGTTAAATGGGCGTGGAGGAGAAGGAGGTGGAGGAGAGGGGCGGGTGAGAGGGGGAAGGAGGAGAGGGGGGCGGGTGAGAGGGGGCAGGAGGAGAGGGGGGCGGGTGAGAGGGGGGAGGGTGAGAGGGGGGAGGGGCGGGTGAGAGGGGGTAGGGTGGGAGGGGGGAGGGGCGGGTGAGAGGGGGGAGGGGCGGGTGAGAGGGGGGAGGGTGGAGAGGGGGGAGGGGCGGGTGAGAGGGGGAGGGGTAAGGGAGCAGAGGGGAGGGTGAGATGGGCGGGTGTGAGGGAGAGGGGAAAGGAGGCGGGGCTAACCCCGCATGCGAGCTTCCCATTGGCGGGCGCGGACCCGCGGTTCTCCGCCAATAGTGAACGAGCACAGGTCTGGTGGGCGTGTCGAGGGAGGTGGGGGTCCCAGGACGACCGGCCGAGCTCATTCAGAGCGGGCCCGAGGCCCTGGGTCCCGGCTCGAACCGGGGCGAGAGGCGGTGACGAGCCGCTCCAAAACCCGGCTGTGGTAACTCCGGAGACGCGTGCGACCTTGCTCTCGCGCAGACTGGAGGTTTATTCCGCAATATAAACATTGTCGAACCACCATCATCATCGTTCTGCGCCATGCGGCATCAATCCCCGCTGGTCGTGGGCATCCTGGGTGTGGAAGGGGTCCTGCTGGGCCTGATGACGCCGCTCGTGGATTCCGCGAGACCCCTCGCCTCGTGGCTCCTGCTATTGGTCTCGTACTTCATGGTGCTGTTCCTCGCCTCTTCGGTGTACACGTTGCTCACCTCTTGGTGTCTCCACGTCGCCCTGCTCACACGGCTCACGTGGCTCCTCGTCCCGTGGCCCCTGGTGCTGGTGCCGGTGGGTGCCTTGCTGGGGCTCGTGGCCCTGGTGGCGCTGCTGGCCCTTCGTGGTGACATACCGCCACCTCCGCCACCACCACCACAATAACCCCGTGGGCCCCGCACTGCTGCTGGTGACAGCGCATCCAGATGACGAGTGCCTCTTCTTCTCGCCGGCGATACAGCGGCTGCGACACTCCAGCAGAGCCGCGCACCTCCTCTGCCTCTCCACGGGTGAGTAATCTCTCGCCCCGGCTGGTCATGGTCTATCCACTGCTGGGTGAAGGTCTCCCCGTGCGGACGTCATCTCGCAAGTCACTCTAAACTCCTCCTGCAGTATCGCCTCGCGGAACACGTGTTGGGGGGCCGCTGCTCTTGGCGCATTGGCATTGGCACTGCCCCCCGTTCGGTTTACCAAAAGCACTGCAAATCCGAAGTCATCTGCCTCTTCAAGTTGACCCCGGCCCACCATCAGCACCTGGAGCTGTGGGCGATGCTGGTGAGTGGCGGCAGGGTGCTTGCCATTGTTGATTGTGGTGGTGGTGATGGTGTCCAACAGGAAACTTTTACAACCAGGGAAACTTGCGTGAGAAGGAGCTGCGAGAGAGCTGCCAGGTCCTGGGCATTCCAAACTCCCGGGTCACGGTCGTGGATCGCAGGTGACCTCCCCCCACTCCACTCCACGTGCCCACACTCACCTCGTCGCCACTGCATCGTCGTCATATTACACGGATATCCTGACCAACATACAGCGCGTTTCAAAAAGATGGACCCAATTTCAAAGCAGTATATTTCACGATGGCAACATGTTATAATTACACGAAAAGTTACAAACGGTTTAATGAGTTATCAAGTTTTACTAAGCATTTTGTAAATGCTCTATGTGCCCTCCATCTGCTGTACGGACAACGAGACGATAGTTGAATTCGTCCCAAACGCCTCTCAAAGTGTCTTCTTCCACTGAAGTCACCGCTGCCGTGATTGTTTTTGAGGTCATCCAGATTAGTTGCTAATGGTGGCACAAAAACACGGTCTTTGTGCCACCATGCTCTTTGACATTGGCGGATCAATGCCAAAACGCCGTTGAAACGCACGCTGCACCGCAATTACGGATTCAGTCTTGCTGAACTGCAAAAGGCAAAACGCCTTGTGTGTTGTGGGGTCACCATATTGCGAATGACTGAGGCTAGGGGCTGTTTGTGCGCTGGGAGAGACATCTCGCGGTAATCATTTGAAACTCTATGCCCCGCTCTTTCAAGTGGGAAGAGTTTCATTCATGGGCGGTTCGTGGTTGCAGAGATATCGCGATTTCAAATCGGGTCCATCTCTTTGAAACACCCTGTATAATACGCTCACCACATGGCACGATCACCAACCACGTGATCAGACGACACAGATACCCTCCTCACACCATCATACACGTCACCCACCTCACTGCACTACACCGTATGCCATATGCCGCAGATACCCACTCACCTCAGTTGCACCACCCTCACCACACCACCACTTGGATAAGGGGCCGTCCATAAATGACGTCACGCGATTTTGGACGATTTTTGACCCCCCCCCCTCCTCGTCACACGGCGTCACAAAAAGTCAGACCCCCCCTCAAATATGACGTCACAAAGCTCTGCCCCCGCCCCCCAAAATAAAACATGCTTCAAATCGCTTTAAACTATTGTCATTGTAGTGCGTATTTAATGTGGCGCTGCACTCTGTTGGAGGAGAAAATATTTATTAAAAAGTAAATTTAATTAAGTAGAACGTGTTGCCTATATTAATGTAAAGTTGCGCATTTTGATGTGACGTCAGGTTTCTCAACCCCCCCCCCCCCCTCGTCACACGTCACAAATGTCTGACCTCCCCCCAGGTACGTGACGTCATTTATGGACGGCCCCTAACCTCACCTTACCACTTCAATACACCATCAAATACCACAGCAATGTATACACTTCACCACACCATGGTATACCACAGGTGCCCACAAAAGGAAAAGTAACTCCTCTCTCTTGCTGCCCTGCAGCTTGAGAACACGATGTCAAATGTAGGTTCTGTGTGAAGCGACATGTTTTTTCCTGCTGTGTGCTGTTTAATTTGAAACGGTGCACAATGAGTACGCGTATGCATTGCTTCGTGGCGTTGTGTTTAGCGAGCTGCCGGACGATCCACAGGTGACCTGGGACAGTAGCCTGGTGGCTGACATCATACTGCAGCATGTGGAGAAGCACAACATCGGCTTGGTGAGTCGACAAGTTGTTGCACTCTCTACGATTCTCGATCCGAATCTGTAAGATGCAACAGTTTTCGATATCAGCGGCGCACGTTTTTTTCGTTTGTCGATGTCGCCGTCCACCTGAGATTTGGTTGTTGAAAGTAATTCCTGCTAAAGCCATGGAACATGGTGCGGAAAGCGTTTCAGCAACCCAGTGCTTGAAATATAATTCCTAACGTAATTTACATTAAGCGAGCCCCCAAAACGTAACGTGTCCCTACCGGTGGGGGGTGGGGGGTGTGATCGGGCAGGTGCTGACGTTTGACGCGGAAGGAGTGAGTGGACATGCCAACCACATCTCCGTTTACCACGCACTCAGGTGAGTCTTACCGTCTCCCGCTCACCAAGGCCTCGCACCACCTCGCACCGAGCTGCGAACATTGTCAGTGTCACGGTTTACAAGATCGGATGCTTGAGCAGCATGCAAAAAAACCATTTACCATCATTGGGGCCGATCTATCCACTACTGGATGAAGGACTCCCCCCTACATTAATACCATACCTCGTGGTCTTGCGATGCTAAAATCCGTCCCGCTTTCGCACACAAGCTGACCTTGTCAGTTGTCCACAGATTTTTCTTCCAGGCTAATGGGATGAATGAGACAAAACAGTGGAAAAAGACAGTACAGACAAGAAAGTAATGATAATAAAAAGTCCAAAACAATCCTTGCAAACCGTTACTCCAACAGTACAGACAAGACAGTATGAACTAAGACCTAATCAATTTAACACGTAGGCATTCGCGACCAATATCCATAATACAGGTTTTTTGGGTTCGATCGCATAAATGTGTCGTTAAACCTGCCACCACCCGACAGCCAATTAGTGAGGTTTGTCACGTAAACAGAACATGCTAATTCGTTACTAGTACAGCACACCGGTGTGTTGAAGAGCAAAGCCACAACATTTAAATCTGTGAGTACGACGTTTTTCCAGTAATTACAACTGAGATCCACACCTACTTCGCGCAAGAAGGGCACACAAGTAACGTCATCACATCTCTCCCTCTATGTAAGTAACGAAAAGGGAGGATTTCTCCACAAATATGGCTATTGCCTGATTTAGATAGTTGTCATTACTGGCGAAACATCACTCAGATTGTAAATGTTGTGGCTTTGCTCTTCAACACACCGGTATACTGTACTAGTAACGCATTGGCATGTTCTGTTTACGTGACAAACCTTAATAATTGGCTGTGTCGGGTGGTGGCGAGTTTAACGACACTTTTATATATTTACGCGATCTAACCCAAAAATCATGTATTATGGACCTAATCGATTGTTTATGTGCTTCCTGGAATGGTGACAATTCATCGAAATGCAGAGACAGTGAACCATTACACGCCTGGAGTTTGCTGTCTGAATCGCTGCATTGGTTTGTGATGTTGCCGGCATTATAAATAGAAGTTAAACTCGAGTTGACATCAAGGTAACGTGGTTGACAAGTTAATGATTACAAGGCGAAGTACTGAAATAAACTGGTCTTTTGTTTTTTTAGGAATCTGCAGTCTGAGAAGAGACTTCCTCCAGGTAAATGGTTTTAAACACCACGTGCGCATTTCAGTCTTGGGCGTCTAATCTTCACAATCCAGGTGTCTCATGATCTCTGTCTTCATGATCTCCGTCGGACCGTACACCCGCAGGCTGCCGCACACTGTACCTGCAGAGCGTCTCACTGCTGAGGAAGTATGTCTCCATCATGGACCTGCCCCTCAGCGTGCTGCGGTCACAGGCACTCGTTTGTCTCGCTTCTCTGGACGAGTACGAGATAGGCCTGGTAAGTCACCGACCCTGCTTTTTCCACCGCAACTGAACTTAGTTTTACCAACGCGGCAATTTCACGAAATGCCTGTGTGACGGGCGAATAAACAAGCGGAGCCTTATACCGGTAGCGATATCCCGTTTTAAGGGTCCGTCAGATTAACATTCTTGGCTGATTTTCTGCACGAAAGGTAAAAAAAAACAACGTACGAGTCATTGTAGTTTAGAACAATGACAACCACTGACAGATACCATAAAAAGCTTTCTGTCGTCATCTTTTGTTATATTTCTAGCCATTTCCGATTAAAGTACTTTCACATTAATGCACAAAAATACAGGGTCCCCACAGCGTATGATGTAATGAGATTTTACTGTATAATGAAATGGCCAACTTGCGTGAGACTGCCTGCGTGACCGAAGTGCATCCCGTGCAATAGTGCGGTCATCATGCGGGTGCCGTCGGCTTCACGATGCCACTCGCTTGTGTTGCAGCAGGCGATGAAACGCCATCGCAGCCAACTGGTGTGGTTTCGCTACCTCTACATTGTCTTCTCTCGGTACATGCTCATCAACACCTTCTCCGAAGATGGTTTGTGAACTCCGATACAAGTTACGCCCCCAAATCTAAGAGAAATAAGATCTATAATTAAGGTGGGGCAATTGGATTACAAGGTGTTGGCAGGTGAAATGCAGTGAAACATCTAAATTTTATTTTCCAACCTTTAATATTGAAAAGTATTAGCCTTTGGTGGGTGTCTGGCAAATGTCTTCGCAGTACAACATAGTTGGGTCCTGCCACTGCTGCTGCGGTATTAAAATAATTGCCTGAGTGCCGCACACAGACACGTCACGACCTGCCAGCAGATCACACTAGTCTTCCAATCACTGTCAAACGACTCAAAACATTACACTTGAGGTCAGAAAACTTGTAGAACAAGGTTTGCAATTGTTTATTTTTGTAATGTAATTAGTGTTGGCACTGAAAGCCGGCATTGCAGGAAAAACATAACTGTAATTTTCTGTAACCATCATTGCGTGTGATATATAACCACACACAAAACAAATATTTGACATTTTTGCAAAAGGGGCCAAGGCGAGTGGAATGACAAGTTGAGACAATTGATATTTAAAATTATGTTGCCTTTTATGCACTGATTGCTCAGGACTACATCCAAAGCCATAGCGGTATGCAAGACGGTGACTTCATTTTGTTGTTTGCACATCAAGCTGGGGGCACTTAATAATAACTTGCACTTACTAGGTGCCTTTCACAAAAAAGTCTGAAGGTGCCGTGTATGAAAGGATGACATTTTTTTAAAGAGAGAACTGGGTGGCACAATTATAGCCAGAGGACCAAAACTCTGGAAAACCTTTTTTAAACGTATAGCTTTTGAGTCGTGATTTAGAGATGCCAAAACACATCGAGAGCCTCATCACCATGGTAGGGAGTTCCACAACTGGGGGTGCACCACCGTAACCGCCCGACCACCCGAAGAGCATTACCAAGATCGAGGTATGCGGAAGCACCTTGTGTGAATGTCGTCACACCTCGGGCTCTGCACAGCTGATCATTCACTCCTGGGATCTGCGACGGATGTCTTCGTGCTCAGTCATGGACTTCTCCCACTCCTGCCCATCGAATACCTCCACGGAGACACCGTCTACCGTCCCAGAGTCCAGACAGTGGGGCATCACACCTGCCAAACACAAGTGGGAAACGCCTTTGGGTTCCTCATGCACGCTGCTGCCTCTCATGTCGCGTTCCCATGACTCCTTAGCCCAGGAGGAGTCGACGGCCGTTCGTGCACGGCTGGGATGTTGTCGCCTCACGCTCCGTCATTCACGTGGCTCCGTGGGTTCAGGCCCTATTCCCCCTCGGGTATCCTTTGTGGTCAAAGGGAAGCAATTTTAAACTTGAATGCAAGTTTGGATTAGGTTAGGATATCCCAAGGTAAAATGTACATTTGTTATTTTCAGCCCCTCTGTATTAAAATAAAAACACAGTCCTTGTGTTGAGCCAAAGTGAAGCGACAACATTGCATGCGCTTCTCTCTACCGTGTCGACCCCATTATGTCACAAGTCCCAAAAGTGGCCGGAATAATAGCACCCACCATGCTCTACAAAAACACAGTTTTAACCAGCTCGATGCCGAATTGGCCCGGTGAGGTTGCTGTGGGAAGCTCGGCTGAGCTCACCTGCTCCCCCGCTCGCACACTGGGCCATCTCACTTCCCAGTGGCTGAAGGAAGGCGGCATCGGTGCTTCGCAGCTAAAACCGCAGGTTTCCCAGGCACAGCAACAGGTGACACCTCATGCCCTCTTACCAAAGCCGTCCGGGTTGGAGCGTGGCGTGTAGAAGCTCTGCACCCCGCACGTCTTGCAGAAGGTGTGCTTCGCTGCGTGCGTGTTGAATGTGTACGTTGTGAGGTTCTCGGCTCCCTGTTGTAAAAAAACAGCGCAGCGGCGATTAACAAGTAATTTGTCAGTGTGGTGAAAGTGGGAGTCAATTTGCAAGTGGAGCAATATCATTAGACATGTAATGACCTCCCCTCTTTCATTAATGCAGTTAATTGTACCCATCCGCAGTAATGAGATTAATAAATAATCACATTCCTATCCTGTTTGTATTTCTGTTTTTGTCGAAATCATACGTTTCTATGCATGTGAGTATAACGATAATGGTCTCAGTCCACCGGTGTGTTGGAGAGCCAAGCCACAACATTTACAATCTGAGGGCTGTGGCTTGGCTCTCCAACACACCGGTGTTGCTGTACTAGTAACGAATTGGCATATTCTGTTTGCCTGACAAACCTTACTAATTAGCTTTGTCGGGTGGTGGCGGGTTTAACGACACAATTATATCGCGAAAGCCTACGTGTTAAACCGTTGTTTATTTTCTAATAGCCGTTTGGATGCATTTTGGCTTGGGGTCATTTTTCGGTCATTGCACAACGACGAGGCCACTTTGAAAAGTTTTTTTCGTAAGCCGAGAGGTTTGTGCACGGCCTATTTGGACGCACCGGGGCCACGCTGCCGCTGCAACATTTCCAAACGTCTTGTCTCGTGAAGTCGCCGGTATTGCGCCGCTAATTTTATTTGGAGACGAAGAAGTTTAAAAAAAGATGCAAGGAATTGTTCGGTACATGCCACACTGACAATGCTTTGCGGTGCAGCAATGTTTTGAACGTCAACGTTAAGTGTGTGAAACGCACGCACCTTCAGCAACTTGAATTGCGACGCTGGGACAATGAAGTGCCTGTTTTGCTTCTTTGTGCAAATGCTGCATCTGCACGGTGATGAGAGAGGTCACGGTGGAGAGAGGTCACGGTGGAGAGAGGTCACGGTGATGAGAGGTCACGGCGCCGCTGGTGAGTCGCCGTGCGGTGATCGATTTGTCCACAACAAACTCAAGCGACGCATTGGCCAAACATTTGCGCATTGGCCAAACATTTGCGCCAGGCCGTGCATAACGTTTTAAAGTCATCTAACAAACACGGAGAGACGCATGCTTGGAATTTCCCTAAACGGGCAAATACATGGATCGGCGAATAACACCGATTTCATTTAAGACAATTGTTAAAACAAGTTGACTTGAGCAAGAATGTATTGTTCTGTGCATCCGCTGAAGTCTTGTATTTGTTACGAGCAACGCATGCGTTTGCACACAATGTTACTCTATGCATGGAACCCGATCTTGTCGACCCGGTGCTATGTAGCTGCTGAGTGTTTCCACTCCCAGAAGGCCGCGTGGCTGATGGAATGTGTCAAATTAACTTTTATTTTCCATGTGGGAGGGACGGATATGCAGAGACGTTGCCCGCTTATCGATTATGTTTCCTACATTCCCCACGAAAAGCAAGCGCTCATTTTTACACTTCGTAAACCCCTTCCTCACGCCGTGGACCCGGGACTCGTGGGGGGCTCCTCACGCTTCGTGGGGAGCTCCTCACGCCGTGGACTCTGGGCTCGTGGGGGGCTCCTCACGCCTCGTGGACTCTGGGCTCGTGGGGGGCTCCTCACGCCGTGGACTCTGGGCTCGTGGGGGGCTCCTCACGTGCAGTCGAGGACGCGGAGGCGAGCCGGCGCCCACACGAGGAAGCGCACGGCGCCGCAGTGGCAGCCGCCTTCGTGGCGCCGCACCAGCCCGGCCCCCTGCTCCTCCATGCGGGACACACGAGGAGATGGAGGAGGAGGAGGGAGGATGACGAGGAAGGAGGAGGTCGTCCTTCCCCGCCGCACCGAGGCTCTGGGGGTCTGGGACGGGTGCGCGCCCACGGCCCTTTAACGCCTCCCCACTCCACGTGCGGATTATAAATTCGACAGCGATTCGATTCCGAGGTCGTCGGAGCTGTCGCGATTCGATTCGTTGTCAAGACGCGATTTCGATGTTGTCCAAAACAGTCGTGTTTTTGGGTGAGATCGCGTCAATATATGAATGTGTCGTGAAACCCGCCACCACCCGACCACTTAGTAAGGTTTATCACGTAAACAGAACATGGCAATTCGTTACTCATACAGCACACCGGTGTGTTTGAGAGCAAATTCACAACATTTACAATCTGGGGACCCTGGCGTCTCGCCTGTGATTACAACCGGCATCATCAGGCGGAGAGCCAGAGTTGTGGAGAACTCACGTGGGCGGTGGGGCTGTGGATTGGGTTTATCTCAACGACTCTCTATGATGTCATCTTCTTGGTTCTTTCGGTGAAGTCACGTAGAAGGGAAGTAATAAAATAATAAAAATAAATTATTTAATTTTATTATATTATTTTATTATGTTTTATTTTTATTATTTAAAGTCACGTAGAAGGGAAGTAATAAAATAATAAAAATAAATTATTTAATTTTATTATATTATTTTATTATGTTTTATTTTTATTATTTAAAGTCACGTAGAAGGGAAGTAGTAAAATAATAAAAATAAATTATATTATTATTTTATTTTATCATGTTTTATTTTTATTATTTTATTACTTCCCTTCTACGTGACTTTAAATAATAAAAATAAAACATAATAAAATAATATGATAAAATAAAATAATTTATTTTTATTATTTTATTACTTCCCTTCTCCGTGACTTTACCGAAAGAACCAAGAAGATGAATCCCTGCTGAAGTCACGAAAGCTGTAAATCGATACTCTATGATGGTTGTGCAGATTGTCACGTGGGCGGGGCTCATCTCAACGATTCGATTCGTTGTCAAGATGCCATTCTTTATTCAGGTTGTGCAAATTTTAATTTTGGAGCGTTCGTGACTGCAGGAATTAATCTTTGGTTTTTTCGGTAAAGTCACGTATAAAGATAAAATAATTATTTAATTTATTATTTTATCTTTATACGTGACTTTACGGAAAAAAACCAAAGAATAGTTGTGCAAATTGTTACATTGGCAGGGTTAGGCTCAGCGATTCGATTAATCGTCAAGATGCGATTCTCTATGCAGGTTGTGCCGATTGTCACGTGGACGGGGCTCATCTCAACGAATCGATTCCCGCCTCACCGCGGCGATTCTGCCGGGGATTCGATTCGTTACGAATACATTTGGACGTCACGACTCGGCTCTTGTTTTCGTCGCAAGCATCGACGCAATTTAGGGATCCACAAGGCGGATAAGCGATTCGACCCTGGCGACTTCGTGGCGGATACGCGCCTCGAGCGGCTGGCGGGGAGTTACGTGACCCCAGCCGAGTGCGGCGCTCGCTTCAAATACAACTAGCAATGTGACCGACACGCGCGATTCGATTTCATTTCGTCGAAAGTGAATCGACTCCGGAATCGACCGCACCCGGACCCGCCCCTGCGGCAGCGCGGTCACGTGGGGGAGACTCCAGAAAAGGGGTGGGGGCGGGGGACGCAGATACGTGACGTCATCGCGAATGTTCGCCCGTGACGTCATTGCCGCATCTTGTAAGGTCGCGTTCACCGTCGACGCCTTTAAAAGCGAAATGACGTCATGTGACGTCCGCAGATGCCGTCGCTAATCACCGCTCGCGGTTGCTATGCGCAACAGCTGCCGGTGTTGCCATGGCGACGCGGCCTTCGCTGACTAAGGCGCGACCTCAAGCTTCACATCAAGATTGCGATGGTGGCGGCGGCTGTTGTTGTTGTTCTTGCTGCTGCAGACCGCGAAGGCGATTGTCGCTCTCCATTCTACGTTTTGACAACGACCAAGACCCCGGGTCGCTACCCAGCAGCACGGCCAACACCGACACGAGTGTGGCCCCAAGTGCGGCGATAGAAAACTCCTTTAACAAACACAAAATAACACCACCACCTGTTCACAATAATCATCGTCGTCTGTTCACTACCACCACCACCATGCTCCTGGTGCTCCTGCTGTTGTGGAGTGACTCATGCAGCCAGCTACGGCTACAGGGTGTTGGTGGTACATGTTTATGTCGTTTATTGTGAAAATTCGGTCACAGTTCCTATGATCACTTACATTGCTTTTATGGCTTTATACTGGTAGGAACCTCCTGGTTACACCAGCCCACAGGGGATTATTGTGTCCGTCGTGCATCCAAAAATGGGAGAGGTCGGGCTGGGTGGAGAGGGGGGGGTGGGGAGAGGCTGGGTGGGGCTGGGTGGGGAGGGGCTGGGTTGGGAGGGAGGGGAGGGGCTGGGTGGGGTGGTGAGGGGCTGGGTGGGGAGTGGCTGGTCACCCCGTGGTGCCCTTGTAAAACTCAACGTTTAACCTACTCACGCCGGCTTGTGCCCGCCCTCACAGTCGGGCATATTTGCGGAATACACCACGCCGCCGTTGACCCTGGCCATTGACCGAGCAACCCAACGCTTCTACCAGCTCCCTCCGCAGGAATGTGTTTGTGAAAATTCGGTCACAGTTCCTATGATCAGTGTTACATTGCTTTTATGGCTTTATTTTGGTGATTTCGAAACGTTATTTGGTTTGGCCATGTTTGTTTGTTGTAGTACAGAGTTAGACTGATGGCCTTAATCTAAGTTGTCTTGTGGTTGTTGTTTGACTTGCATCCCACTGGGATTTTTTCACACAGCGTTGGTGTACGGTGCTTTTTTCTGCAATATTTTGCTGTCTTTTCTTGGATTTTCTGTTTGCACTTAGTCACATTAAGATGTTTTCTTGTGCATGGAGCCGAATGGCTCACAGGGCTATACCTAATCAATGAAACTTAAAACTGAACCACCACCTTGCCCTGGAGACGACACGATCGAGGCGATTCTCAGTTTCCGTGCGGCACTCACGGGTGATGGGCCGCCCGTGCTGCTGCTAAACGAGGTCTTCCTCACGCCGTGCCGCTTGTTTTGAACATAAGGACCGTCCATAAATGACGTCACGCGATTTTGGACGATTTTTGACCCCCCCCCCCCCCATCGTCACAAAAAGACCCCCCCACAAATATGATGTCACAAAGCTCTGCCCCCACCCCCCAAAAAACATGGTTCAAATCGCTTTAAACTATTATCATTGTAGTGCGTATTTAATGTGCCGCGGCACTCTGATGTTGTAGGAGAAAACATTTATTATAAAGTCTATTTAATTAAGTAGAACGTGCTGTCTTTATTTATTTAAAGTTGCGCATTTTGATGTGACGTCACATTTCTCAACCCCCCCCCCCCCTCGTCACACATCGTCACAAATGTCTGACCCCCCCCCCTAGTTGCGTGACGTCATTTATGGACGGCCCCATACCTCCCCACGCTCGCAATCGCCGGCTTATGCGGGCGAATGGTGGAGGTGGGGAGGTCATATAAGTACGGTACAGCAATAGATGTTACTGCACTGCGCTCTGCTGACCAACACGTAGCCCTGCATTGGACTTAATTATTGTACGCGTACAGCGATTACATTGTTATGTGATTTATTGAATACAGCAGACAAGCATAGGGTAATAAAGTGCAGCTTATAAACGTGGAATTTCCACCACTGGTTAATGGTTGACAACGGAGAGAAGCGCCAACCCCCCTTCTCTATGCGGGGACATCTTTTGGGGTGGGGGTGTATAAAAACCCATACCTGTCAACCCATACCTGTCAACCCATATACAGTAGTTTACCCGTATTCCTGTACAGGGAAATTGAGTTTCCAGGTCCATACTGCGTACAGCCGTTTCAATACGGGAAAAAGTTTTTTTTGTCCATTTGTGTTTCTCCCTCGTGATGGGACTTTATAGGATGAACGTTGGGATTTATAAGGGCACGGGGTAACCAATATGGTCTGAATTGGTCTGTAATAAGGTAAGGCACTGATAATGGGTTGACCTGTATTAAAACTTCGCTTTTGGACAGTTGCCAAACTGACCTCAGCCAAAAATATGGCGAAACTACCCGCAATGTATGTACGCTGAAATTCTTTCGCAGCGTACGTAGCCAACCGTGCTCATCGGAGGCAACACAAAAAACTACCTGCATGAATATACACAGCACTCGGCCACTTCTTGTTTAGTCGTTCTCAGTCTGAAACCTGGCCAGCCACAACCTCATTGAGCAACGCGTCTATGTTGTTGTCAGCCTTGGGCTCATGGTGTGCCAAGGGTTGTTACTCATTCACACCTCACTTCCGAGGCTTAGATTTCTCACCGAATATTTTCCAGGTCTCGGCAAGACCGGGAGGAGGTGGTACGGGACTAGTAGCCACAGCCATAGCGAGAAGTACGGTATGTGTCGGCTGTTAGAAGTATTTGAAGGGTTGCCAACCCGGCCGGATAAATCCGGCTAAAATTATGCCCTACTAGACACTCTGGTGACAGCTACTGCTCGTTTTTTTTCGCGAGTGCTTCCAAGTCAGCCAGGTTGCTGAGCGGCGCTGGCGGCTTGGGCTTGCGACATCTCAAGCACAAAATAATCGAGCCCCCTACTATGAGGATGGAAAAGAAGATGAGGACTCCAGTCACTGCCTTCAGGGTCTCCTCATGAAGGATTTTGTCTGAAAAAACAAACCAGAGATTGTGCCATTCATTTACACAACATACACATTTTACATTCGCTTATTATCCACTTGCGCATATGCGGGTGACGGCAAATAGGGTATTTACAAAGGTTCTCAGATACTTATCACTTCGTCTGACAAATCTATGAACACTTATGTTATGCAACAAAAAAATAATCACCAAATCTAACAGAGACCTTGCCATTGAATACCTGCCAGTTTACCAGCATTAGCTCAAGCAAGCCCAACTACCAATGAGACACCGACTGCCAAAACCAGTCCAAAGTTTGGCTTGTGCAGAACCAATGCTGCTGACATTATGCACTCCCAAATTGCCATACAGCAGATAGAATGTGCAAATTACCTCCATATTTTGTATAGAACGGACATATGCAAAGGGTGTTAGTTATCTGCTTATTTATTGATTTTTATTGTTTTATTTTTATTATTTTATTATTTCCATTCTACATGACTTTACCAAAAGAACCAAGAAGATGAATCCCTGCAGTCACAAAAGCTTTAAATCGAAAAATAATTGAAAGGTTTTGGTGATAAATATTATGATACTTCAAAACAGGCAAGAAAGCTCTACAGACTGCACCACAAGGATGGAACCCTAATACTGACCGGTGCGGACTTTTAAGGTCACTGGCTGGCTCCTGAACCCAGGTAGAACGCAAATGTACTCTCCACTGTCAGCCAGGGACGCGATAATTTTGACATGTCCTTTGTGATTTTGGTCTTCCTCCAGAAGCCTTCCATCTCTGAAAGACAATGAGCAGTTGGCATCTTTACCCAAAATCTTTCAAATGGTTGTCACGCATAAATACAGCAAATCACTGCTTTTCAGCATTTCGAGGCTACCAGTCAACCGACGCGTACGGTGCCTTCTCTGCAAAGAGTTGTCATTGTAGCGAGTGTGTTTGGGCAGGACACTTTGCTAAAAGAGATGACGGAATGGAACGCGTTCGAAAGGACGTCCACTGTGGAGATGGAGATTAAATCAGTTTCTCTGCAGGTCCTGGGTGGACTGTTGCATCACAAAACCATGAGTGGCGGTGGTGGCTTGGAGAGGCTTTCACACAGTGGATAGATCATAGCTCAAACGATTAACAGCTATTTGAGGTTAACTATAGTCCAGTCTGCATGCGTTAGAACCGCACCCACACAATGTAATCATAATTCAGGTGACTAGTTTAGCTCTCCGATACGTGTTCAGCTTGTACCGCATGACTCGTGCGGAAAGACACGTGTTACAACCCGAATACACATCGGTGACACAGCCCAACACATTATCTGCTTGTTGCAGGGGTTTGTTCAAATCTGGCAGGTCACCCTGGTTATTATTGCGGTTGTAATAACCATAATACTGTGCCGTCTGCTTCAGTGGACTTTAAACGATCCCAGGACCTTCAAAATGAGAAAGCCATTATATGTCAGGGTCCGTGACTTTACCGAAAGAACCAAAGTATGAATTCCTGCAGTCACGATAGCGTCAAATCCAGATCATACTTAATTGGGTATACATACAACATAAATCATTGTCGACTACTGGCTATTTAATGCCCGTTTGCAGGCCAGGTGCCAAGTCACCTTGTACCTACAAGGAAAGCTACCACTCTGGGTGCCCTTTCGAATGTGTTGATATGAGATGGGGTGCCGGGGTGGCGAAATGCTGCTATCTCCCTTGTCTGGTATGCAGGAGGTTGCAAGTTTCATCCCGACCCCTGTATATGTTAAATTTGCATCTTCTCCCCATGGTTTCATGGATTTTTCTCTGGGTCCTCGGGGTTTTTCCCCTCCACATTTAGAAACCATACATTTTGCGCATTTGGCTGCTATACATTTCCACATAAGCCACTTCGTTGAGCTATTATTTGTGGCCAGGTCGTTTTTGAGAAAGAGCTAATAATTCAGTCGGATTTACCTGGTAAATAAAATAGTTAAATAACACACGTGAAAACACATACCATTGTCATCCTGCAGCACAACCAAAAAAATTCCCGTGCACTGGTAGAACTGGTTTTTACCATAAAATGTAGATACGAGGGTCAACAGGACAACTTAAAACCTTGTACCGATACTCAATGCTCCGAGTGTGTGGAATTTGTAACATCTGCGGAGTGCAACGAACCTTTCCCAGCGCGCTAGCTCATGGTCCTGCAAATGGTCGGTGTAGTTAAAGCTGGGCAGGCACACCAGGTCGACGGTACTGCCAACAGGAGCCGGATTCTTTGGCAGAATGCCCACTGTTACCGGAACTGATGGAAGAGATATTAGAACGTGCAGGAAGGTCCTTCACATGGTCATTCAATGCAGTATTTGTGTGAATGCACGTGTCTGCGTGTATTCGTCTGTCTCACCAAATTGCCATGCTTTATCTTGTGCCTGCAACAAAAGTAAACGTGACACTGTATTTCAAACCGTGCACACTTCATAACCCGTGTATGGCACACACCGTATGCAAGATGCTATGGAATACGTTGTGAGGCTCATTTAATAACATTGATCATTAGTATTTACCCAGAAGACCTCACCGAGTCAAGACTTCAGGAGGGTCCCTGAAACATCGGGACACTTGACCATTTCCTTTTAGAAGCAGATTTAACAACTCCCAAAGATGTGCTCACAAACTACAGGAAGGCACGACTCGCATTATGCCCCAATTGCATGTCATGTGACCTGAACATTACGTGTTCAGCGCACTAATCCTCGTCCTTGTTAAGTATGTGGGAGAAAACCGGAAAAAAACCCAAGGATACGAGGTGGTGAGGCACAATACTGGCACCTCCACGCTATCTCCAGGTGCACGGCGTGGCACCGACACTACGGAGGCTCACCTTGAGTTCCATGGTGTGGCAGCCAGAGAGGGTGATGAAGCAGCTCGCCACGTTAACGCACTCCGGAGGGAAGCATTCCTTCCCCACGGGCCCGTTCACGGAGGCGGCCAGCGTACTCATGGTATTCTACAACATTCACACAGCAGCACCACCAGTAGAGTTGGGAGAGTAATGCACTAATATTTTCCTGCATTTGTTTACACGGGAGAGCTCTGTATCGGTGTCCCACCTCTATGCCCTCATCAGCAGAGCAAGATTCGTTAAACCAAACAATTTCTGCTCTAAGTCATGAAATAACCTCCACTGCCAACATCCTCAAAACGACAAACCACAAGTCACTTGTTGAGGAGCTCCACAGCCATCGGCAGGCAACTCCTCCGTGCGCCCTGCGTATCACGGACCTCTCTCACGCCTGAAGTGTTATGTTAATCGGTCATCTCGAGGTGTTGTAGCCGTGCCATTTTTACACGGTTACAACATAGATGGTAAGATTGATGGAAATTCCACGTTGCTATGACCTGTAACCGATGTGCCCATATAAACACACCCAGTGCGTATTGTACAGCTGGCATAATGTGCCACGTGTAATGTCTGCAGCTGCCTCGAGCAATGCGTGAGAAGAGAGGGGATAATTAATTTTGAGCCAAGGTCAGCCTGGAGACGTCAGAAGGAGTGGCCCCCTAGTCACCACACATTGACGTGTCAGGGTCCGGAGCGGCCAGGCGTCCCTGGTGTGTAGCCTGCAGGGTCTCTTGCAGGAGACATGAGCCCAGTGCCTGGACAACGTGCGTGTGCTTTGCAAGTGCCGTGCGCTGCGTGCAACGTCAGATGACATACCTCGGCCAGCACGCTCCAGTACTGCGTGGCGTTCGCGTGGACTGGCGAAGAGGCACATTCGCTCGAATGCAGAGAGTGGAAGCCGGCACCTCTACACTCGTAGTATCCCATCCACACCGGCGTGGCTACGGGGGGGTCCGGGAGAGGGGGGCACAAAAACAGGTTCACTACGAAATCGACAAGTCGCGTTGTGTTAGTTTCTCGCGCTTTGGCGACCAACGAACACGCTCCACGTGGACTTGGAGAATGTCGGTTCAAAGGTAGAGAGAGATGTCTTGTTGCGTGTGCGCGTGTGGTGGCCTTCACAGATAACACGCCGCCGACACGTGATGACACTCCATCCCTCTCGCCTCCCGCTGGACTCAACATCAGCATGCTGCCGATTACGATGACAATTAAGTGTTGCCGGTTTGACAAGTCCTAACAAACACACATTGGACTTTCTGCAACGAGACTCTTTGGTTCTTTCGGTAAAGTCATTAAGGTATCAAATAAATCGCGACGTTTCGGGCGCAACACAAGCGTCCATCATCAGGTGGCTTTCCCATGCTGGCTCCCACCTGATGATGGATGCTTGTGTTGCGCCCGAAACGTCGTGATCGATTTTATCTTATACCTACGTGACTTTACCGAAAGAACTTAAGAGTATGGATTCCTGCAGTCACGAAAGCTTCAAATCAAGATTTCTACAACGAGTTTATTCATCTGGAATAATTCCCTGCGGAGAGGAGGGGGCCAGCAGCCAATAACATCGCGGCAACTTCTACGGTTGCACTGTAGTTCTAAGCTCCCCTGGTGTTTACGGGAACAGAAACCCCCCACGACTTTGTTCTGGAAGTGAAAAATATACCAGCAGATTGACTCACCGCGCCGCGCCACTCATTGTGTGAAGAAAAATGTGAGCAATGCGTCGGCGGCGGCGACGACGACATGTAAACATTTACGTAAATCCACTGCTCGATTAACCTGCTACCCTCCCCCTACTCCTCAACATCATGCGCGTCATGGGGGTTATTTGACCATACTTCACCACGCTAGTCGGGGAAACACACGGTGGGAGGACAGGAGCACAGTCCAAACAAATCGATACGTTGCCGCACTGCCATCGGCACCCTGTTTGTTCGCGCGGGGTTGCATTCCACCCGAGCGCTATGCAGGCTCGACCCTGCTTGGCTTGCCAGATATGGCGAGATCGTGCGTGTGCTGGGCGACTGGGGTGAGAGAGGAGAGAGAGAAGAAAGAGAGGAGAGAGAGAAGAGGAAGAGAGGAGAGAGAGCGGCCGTCACGCCGAGCTCGGGATGACCACGGCAACATCTCTCGCTGTGGCTCCTCCCGGCCGCGGGGTCAGCAGAAGGAGACCCCCACAGGTGGACACCAAACACCGGTCACGAGTTAACCACGAACACAATTCGTACCCTTTTCCGTATTGGTTCCGCCACTATTAAAAAAAGAGATTAACATTTTTTTTTTGCATCTCATCGGTCAATCGAAACGTCGTGATTTCATTTATTTTATTTTATACCTACGTGACTTTGCCGAAATAACCAAAGAGTAAATGGTTTTTTATAAGTACAGAATTTCAGCAGTATTAGTTCCACACAAACTCTGGACCGTTTGCTACATTAAGTTTATCAACAGCAGTGACACGTTTCGATTTAAAGCTTTCGTGACTGCAGGGATTCATCTTCTTGGTTCTTTCGGTAAAGTCACGTAGAATGGAAACAATAAAAAATAATAATATAAACATTAAATAATTCTCACGACGTTTCGGCCACAACGCAAGCAGCTGTCTCCCCGACAGATCTGGTCTTCACCTGATGACGGCTGCTTGCGTTGTGGCCGAAACGTCGTGAGAATTTTTTTTTTCCATTCTACGTGACTTTACCGAAAGAACCAAGAAGATGAGCAGTGACACGCTTTGCTTGAACAGACGCTGGTGAACTGCCAGATGGTGTGGGCAAAGGACCCTCTCTGTTAGATGGGTCCCAGTTCGACAACAACTCTATAATGCACAGCGCAGACCAAATCATTATCGTCGGTCTGAAGAATGCACCTAACAATACAAACACGGAGAGACAAGTTAGAACAACGAAACTTTCCGTCGGAGCTGCTCACCTACGGACAGCAGCACGGAGGTGGCGAACACGAGGGAGCACAGGAACCCGTGGGGAGTCATCTCGGACTTGCAGTGGTGGGGAGGAGGCAAGGTCGCCTTCTCAACACGGTCCGCAACATGCACTGGGCAGGGTCCCGGGTACCCTGAATGCCGACACCGCGTTTGGGCCGGGCCGTGTTTACGAGAAGAGAGGCAGGGCGAGTGCAGCATGGGGGTTGGGGGTGGGAGTATGGAATTAGGGGCATTCACTCGCTGACTCGGCATGTGTGTGTGTGACGCCTTTATTACACGCCCATCATCGACACCACCACCATCATCATCATCGCCATGGCTCGCGATCGTTATTGCGAGGGCGTAATTCGAGTCAAGAACAGCCAAGCAGCTGACCCCAACGCAGCCACTCGGCTGAGAAGGAGGCGATGTGCGACCGAGTTTGGCGCACAGCAGCGCGGGGTCGCGAGCGATGTCGGTGACGTTGAGAAAATTGTTTTCATGCAGCAGTGGCTTTTACCGTGGCCGACGATGATGATGATGGTGCCGCGACTAGATTGCTGCAATGTGCAATCGCATTAGGCAATGTCCCTAATTACATGCACAGCATACCTGTCAACCCCCTATCATTGCCTACTTTATTACGGACCAATTCAGACTGTATGTCACCCCGTGCCCTTATAAATCTCAACGTTTATCCTCCAAAGTCACATCACAAGGGAGAAGCACAAACCAATAAAAACATTTGCTGGTATTGAAACGGCTGTACGCCGTATGGACCCGAAAACTCAATTCACCTGTACAAGAATACGGATAAACCGTATGTGTTGACACGGTGTGGCACAGACCCGTCGTGCGTGCCATGTGGGCGATTGTGATATCTCTACCGTGCGGTTGCCGAGGATTTGGATCTCCCCATGTGCGGTTGCATTGAGGCTCTGGGTAAAGGCACTGTCGCTGTGGCCACGATTTCATATTCTAACCCAGCGGGTTAAAGGGTCCCTTAGGAAGCCCGGAGACACGTGGAGAGTGTGCTCAGTGGAGTTGAAGTGGGGGGGACACAGCAACTCGATCGGTGCACGGAGGGAACTTGAAACTTTGGCCCCAGGTGCAGCAGCTCCCTAGCGGAGCGAGGTGGAGGCTCGGACCCGGCACAACCGGAATAACGAGACCGGCGGCACGGGTTCATGACTGAAGGCCCCCATGAGGTCTACCGTGGGCTGGCGGAGAAATACGCCAACATTCCAGTTACGGCGTTACGAGTCAGAGCCACTGATGGGATATGCATCGCACGTGCTAAGCATGTGCACGGAGTACGATCAGCAGCAGTGCTCACTCCACATAAACACCTTGTCAATTACAGCGCATTATCTAATTGACAGATGTGTTGGTGCGGATCGTGTAAGGGAGCGCCGATTTGCTGCGTGACGCAATGAGCAAACGCCCTGGCTTCTTTAATCATTATCATCATCATCGTCGTCAGTTATTGTCAATCTACAGCTGGATGAAGGCATCCAAGAGTCACCGACAACTGCCCCGATCCCGCGGTGTCATAGCAATCCACCTAACAGCTGCCGAGACAATGTCATCGTCCTGTCGTGTTCCAGATGAGATGTGAACACTTGTGATGATAAACTTGATTTGAAGCTTTCGTGACTGCATGCATTACTCTTTGGTTCTTTCGGTAAAGTCGCGTAGAAAGAAAATAAATTAAATAATAGAATACGACGTTTCGATTGCAACACAAGCAACCGTCATCAGGTAGAACTAAATTTGAGAGAGAGACAAAACACAGACACGGAGACACACAGACAGACACACAAGCAGAGAGAGACAACATAGACACACAAATTTAGTTCTCCCTGATGATGGTTGTTTGTATTGCAATCGAAACGTCGTTTTTTATTATTTAATTTCTTTTCTTTCTACGTGACTTTACTTTTCGATTTAAAGCTTGCAGGGATTCATCTTCTTGGTTCTTTCGGTAAAGTCACGTAGAAGGGAAATAATAAAATAATAAAAAATAAAAGTTATTGTATTTAGTTATGTTTTATTTTTTATGTTATTATTTCCCTTCTACGTGACTTTGCCGAAAGAACCAAGAAGGTGACTTTACTTGTGATAATCTCTCTGGGGCGGCCCCTTACTCCCCCTGTGCCTCCACCGCATTCCTCTTCGTCGGGTGCCGGACGTATGAGCTCATCTCATGCCAGGGTGGGGGGACACGGGGGGACCCCTCCTCCCTCGTTAGTGTGGTGCACGTCAGTTCAGGGTCAGGGCGAGGGTCTTTGTCTCCTTCCCCTCTGTCCCACGAGCCGTGGCCGTGGCGTGCAGCCAGCCACGAGTCTTCGTGTGTGTGGGCGGGGTTTTGTGTGCATTCGTGCATCTTACCGAGCAGTGAAACATCAGAACAGCTCCCTAGTGGTGCTGTGAACAGCTCCCTAGTGGTGCTGTAGCGGAGCTGTGAACAGCTCCCTAGTGGTGCTGTGATGTTTTTCTGATGCTTTTAGAGGGTAAAAGTGCAGCCCTGAAATTTCTCGCTCACGCCACTGCTGGTGGAAAGGGCTCCGCGAGAGGGAGCTCTAGAGAGCCACTCCTTGTCAGACGTACTGGTGGGAGTACCCACACTACACTCCATCGTATGCTACTCACCGATCAACTAACTTCGGTATACCCATGTAAACTGCCACGATTGACGGACAATCATAACCGCTGAACATCACCGCGATCTTCGTTGATACAGCTCTAAACATTTTAATATAAATGCGTGTAACACAACCAACCAAACACATTTACAATAGCTAAAAAGTGTTTCGTAAAACATTTCATCGTTATCATCAGACAATGATCAATCTACCGCTGCGATATAATAATCCACTTTACATTTGCTGATTTTATTGCTCTATATATTTGGTGGATGACTTCTCAGACGTGTTTCGTTCACAATGAGAGGCATACAAATCATAGTGAAGCTGCTTACACAATAAAATAATTAACACACATTTATAGATATCTATATAAATAACGACCTTAATCTGTATGTGTCAAAAACCTCTCGGGTGCTTCTTGATAAGGTCGAAAGCTGAAAATTGGTACACAGGTATCTTTTAGGACACAAACAGGAAAAATATGAAAATCCGACATCTCGATTTTAAGTGGCCCATGAACATGTTTGTCCGAGTGATTCAGAAACCGTTCAAATATAAGATTGCGGTTTTTTTCTTTTCATAGAGTGTTAAACAGCAAATACAATTTAATCGAGAACCATTTTTCTATCTTTTATTGTTCCGGAGATATTTCGGATTCAAGCGGGTTTTAACGAAAAAAAATAGGCATTTTATGATGTGCAAATATTAATAATTCGAAAACAGTGAAAGATAGGAGCTTCCCCTCAAGGAGTATTAAGTTAATTATTTTTTGTTCTTCCTAATGAAAAGGAACGGAATCTTTACATTGAGTGGTTTCTGATGGGTACGTCTTTAAATTTAAGAAGTTGAATCAAGTAAACAATTTTTTTGCGGAAAAATGCTAATTTTTGGAGATGTCCGTGTCTGATCATAGATTTTCAAAAAATAATATCAGATTTATTAATATATATTTAAAACGTTTGCCTGGCGAAGACAGGCTTTATGAACTAGTCTTGAAATAAAGTCTTGCACCCCAGTGGATGTGCGCAATGCAGACACGAGGCACGATACATCTGCAAGGGACGTTGGCGCATGACTGTAGTGAGAGGACCAAGAAGGCAGACCCCCACGAGAGGGGAAAACGCCAGGAAGAACATTAAATCAGCATCGCCTGAATTCCTCCCAAGCCCTGTGTGACCCAGCGATGACCACCGATTGCAGACCCAAACGTGGCGCTGAGAGAAGCTCCCAGGACCTGTGCTATGCGGCCGCACCTTACATCGGAATACCCCCCCAGGGCACTGAGTCCATGCGGGTAAGGTTCATCCCGTGGCCCTGGTGTAAAGACCTTAATGCTTAAGCCATGCCGTTACTGGAGAATGGGATTCGGTTCATGCCTGAGCTCCTTGCAAGATTTTGTTTTCACCAGGGTGCGATCTCAACAGAGGCCAAGATGAGTCTCAATCGCAAGAGTCACCTGGGTCATTAAAGTCACAAAATCAGAAACATAAACACACAGGACCAGTAACAAAGACAATATAAATCGGAGCAGAAGAGAGTGCCGTGCCTTGCAGTTGCACGGTACCAGCGGCCACAAACGCCTCGACACAGAACTGGCTGGGCCTGTGGTGGCGCTCGGCACAAACAAACCGAGAAATTTGTAGTAATAGGTTTTTACCCTTTCAACTGGTACAAAAACTGACACCTTTATACAAGGGATCATGTTTGCAATAACCACAACACAAGCAGTCAAAATGCAAACAAAAAGAAACAACTCTGATAATGATATGCACTGTCCTTGAAATTGGAGATTAGGCTCTAAGAAAAGCTGTCTCGGGTGTGGACCAATCAACTTCAAGGACAGTGCATATCATTATCAGAGTTGTTTCTTTTTGTTTGCATTTTGACTGCTTGTGTTGTGGTTATTGCAAACATGATCCCTTGTATAAAGGTGTCAGTGTTTGTACCAGTTAAAAGGGTAAAAACCTATTACTACATTTTGCCACTGGTAAAAGAGGTCTCACAGTGTAAAAAACCGAGCAATTGTTTAGAGCTCCACCATATATCGAACTCAATTTCATATATTAAAAAGCTAATTCATACCGACACAGTACTGCTAATATGCATTTCATTGTAATGAGTCAATTACCTTCATTATTTCACAAATATTTAAGCTATGCAGCTTGGCACGCCTATGTTTTTTTTTTGCCACGTGGCACAACCAAGAATATTTTTTGCCAAGGGCCTCTAATGGAGCTGGCACCACCACCACCGCCCTAGATTTATATTGAGACAATACTTCTCACTGATAATTGCTCTCTCAACAACCACCGCCCTGACAGACAGCCTTGAGACTCCGTGAGGCTTTCATGGATAAACAAAGGGCATTGTCATCATTACTGCTTGACAATTAACTTCGCAAAAATTATGGTCTCGAATGGCGTTCAAAAAATTACATTTGATACGTATGAAAAACTAAAATTAAGTTCACAAGTCTCTAACAAGAGTAAAACTCGTGAATTCTGAATTAAGAGATACCCCGAGTGATTGACGCGCTTGTGATATTCCCGTGATGAGTCGGCGCGTGAGGAATTCAAGGGCGTTGCCACAACCTGCGGCTGTCCGTGACGGACGCATACACCCCGACACGAAGGGCAGCACTCTCGGCCCATTGCCAACGAGTTTAGTTTCACAAGCAGAGAGAGACAACACAGACACACACAGAGAGAGACACACAACATAGACACACAGAGACCCAATAATGCCTCTGTGTCGATGCCTTAAATAGAGAGAGAGGGGGAGGCAGAGAGAGAGGTGGGTCTGCTGGGGCAGCTGTTGGAGCAGAGGAATTAGCAAGTCAATGAATCCACCCCGAAGCGACCGAGGGAAAGAAGAAGATCGAATGGCCCTATGAGAGCCTGGTAAATTTTAGAGCGAGAAATCGTTTGAGAAAACAAAATTTAGCAAATCTTTTGGAAATGTAATGTAATGCAACACAGAGCTTCGGCTAACACGCAGTTAACGCATAGCCTGGTTGATAACGATCTCCAAAGTTTTGTTTCACAATTTGATATCGCTACACCCCCCCATTGAGTTAGCGGTGGCGCCCTCTGGCGGACGCCCCGTGCAACTGCAACTAAGTAAACATTTAACTGGTTGTCGCGACAACGGCGACACTCCGATGTCTATCGATTTAACACATTACATTGGTGATGCTGCTGCGTTGGCAGCGGTGGTCAAGCGCAAATAACAAACATCTCGACTCATTTGAATGGCCTTTCCTTCTTTATAGCACATATCATTAATGTGCTGATTAGAGTTCCAAATCTAGAAATTTTCAGCATGGTTCGAAATATAATTGTACCATGTCTCCTGCTTCTCACCCAAAGTGCAAACTTCAAACCACTAAACTTCTCTGGTGACTTACGTGAAGAATAAGTGTAATCTGTCCATTAGAGGTCAATTCGGACTTTGTTGGAGTGGCAGCCTTGGCCACGTGGTACAAACCACATCCCAACAGTGAAAATCACATTTTCTGGAAACGCGTAATTCCCCAGGCACGCGTCAATGCCTCCTCGATTTTACAAAAACGCTTACGCTGAGGACAAGGGGTCGATTTGTGACTGTAATAATCAATTACTTACAATTGAGCAACTGATATGCAAATTAGATACTCATGTTATATTAAGGTTAAAGAGAGAACAACATTGGACAAACGAGATGGAACAAACGAGCACAAACCATGTACGATGCGTCTGTCGACACCAGGGGTGGGGAAATTGTTTTCTGCCAAGGGCCGTTTGGATATTTATAACATCATTCGCGGGCCATACAAAATTATCAACTTAAAAATTAGCCTGTGAAAATTTGATCTTGATTTGAAGCTTTCGTGACTGCAGCAATCCATACTCTTTGGTTCTTTCGGTAAAGCCACGGTATAAAATCAAATAAATCACAACGTTTCGGGCGCAACACAAGCGTCCATCATCAGGTGGGAAAGCATGGTCTGCTGCTGAGGCAGACTGTTTTAAAAGGTTTGAAATGGGTGTAGCTCAAGGGTCATAAACAAGTGGCCGGGGCTAGTGTTGTTAATGTGAGAAATTTGTAAGATAGGAGAGCGGCCTCCTCGACGAAGGCACGGAAGTGGCTATGTTAATGTGATGGATTAGCATGATGTTAATGTGAGAAATTAGAGGGCACGGAAGTGACTATGTTAATTTGAGAGATTAGTATGATGTTAATGTGATAAATTAGAGGGCATGGAAGTGGCTATGTTAATGTGAGAGATTAGCATGATGTTAACGTGAGAAATTAGAGGACACGGAAGTGGCTATGTTAATGTGAGAAATTAGCATGATGTTAATGTCAGAAATTAGAGGGCACGGAAGTGGCTATGTTAATGTGAGAGATTAGCATGATGTTAACGTGAGAAATTAGAGGGCACGGAAGTGGCTATGTTAATGTGAGAGATTAGCATGATGTTAACGTGAGAAATTAGAGGGCACGGAAGTGGCTATGTTAATGTGAGAGATTAGCATGATGTTAACGTTAGAAATTAGAGGGCATGGAAGTGGCTATGTTAATGTGAGAGATTAGCATGATGTTAACGTGAGAAATTAGAGGGCACGGAAGTGGCTATGTTAACGTGAGAGATTAGCATGATGTTAATGTGGGAAATTAGAGGGCATGGAAGTGGCTATGTTAATGTGAGAGATTAGCATGATGTTAATGTGAGAAATTAGAGGGCACGGAGATGGCTATGTTAATGTGAGAGATTAGCATGATGTTAATATGAGAAATTAGAGGGCACGCAAGTGGCTATGTTAATGTGAGAGATTAGCATGATGTTAATGTGAGAAATTAGAGGGCACGGAAGTGGCTATGTAAATGTGAGAGATTAGCATGATGTTAATGTGAGAAATTAGAGGGCACGGAAGTGGCTATGTTAATGTGAGAGATTAGCATGATGTTAATGTGAGAGATTAGCATGATGTTAACGTGAAAAATAAGCATGTAACTGTAGAAAAGGAGAAGAAGAGCGGCCTCCTCGACGAGGGAGTGCAACCCAACGGGTGTAATCCGCAGGGCCTGTGAGTATGTGAGTGCAATCCAAAAGACATGTGAGCATGAGAGTGCAATCCAAAGGCATGAGAGGGCAATGCAACGGACATGTGAGCATAAAAGATCTAAGAGAGAGGCATAGTGAGAGAGACACAGAGAGTCGAGATAACAGCTGACATAGGCAGATTGGATGGAAACATCACAGTCTTTACCTAGTTAATAACGTCCTTCCAATGATTGCTTAGTTTGTACCCATGCTCTCGGTTGAAGTTATATTTGGTCAAACATTTATTCAACTCACCCCTAATGTGATGGCTGGAACTGCTTCTCTTTGGCGAGGCGTGTGATGTTAGCTGGTATTGATGATGTTGCTACTCGCAACTGCTTTTCCAGGTTTGCTCCTAGATTTCGAGTCCCGCCTGCAGTTGCCTTGGCAGGGCCAGACCAAATGATTTTGCGGGCCTTATACGGCCCGCGGGCCAGACGTTCTCCACCCCTGCTCTACACCCTGGACACACTGGCAAATGAGATGTTCCATCTCGGTAAAATATGAAATATAAAAATGTGAAGTTGTCATTACCTATTTTCTAGATTTGTTTCCCTTTAACGCCAAAGTGTTGTTGGTGAATGTGCTGTGGATGATGCCATCTACCCAGTGTACAGGTGCACAGATTGGGTCTGCTTTAATCTCCTTGGAGTTCAGCAAGACAAGCGGTTTAATGCTGCTGGCTTGGACTGGTAATCCTCATGTGTCCGTGTTCAGGTGAGGAGGAGGTCACGTCACAGCAGGCTACTCGAGTTTACGTCTCTCCGCGCAATGAATATCACCACGATGGCCACCACCAGCAGGGCAGACACGAGGAACGCAGTCGAGACTTGCTCAAAACCTGCAAGACAAGGGCAAAGATCCCACCGTATAGCCTTAGCAGATTGTTGGGGCAAGTGCTGTTAGCGAGCACCTATGAAGGACGCCACGGTACACGAGGAGGTGGGTGGCAAGCACCACGCCCGGGCCGCCTTTGTCTCCCGAGTGGCAATGTTTACACACTGCACCAGGAACTAATTTGAGGCTGAGTCGACCTAGGGGAGACCCAGGACCAGTTCGAATAATCGCCACTGGTGTTGGCCGTGAGCGGTAATCGAACTCGGGTCGATGGGTTCCTATCACAGCACGTTCACCATTGCACTACCGCTTCCCTCAAAACCCGTACACACGATGGTGCACTATTATTATCTCTGCGGCGTGGAACAACCACACAAATTGAAGGAGGCAAATTCTCAGAGGGAGACGAACAACACAGCGAGGCAGCACGTCTCACCGGACGCCTCTGTGAGGATGAGGGCTGGGGTGCTCTCAAACTCCGGGAACACGCAGCTGAACCGCCCTCCGTCTGCTGGGCTCCTGATCGGCACGAGAATCGATGAGACGTTGGCCGAGCCGCCTATGGCCACTCCATTCCTGCAGCATCCGACACACACATGAAATAGTTTTCCCAGACGTAATAATAACACAATGCCATCCGCTTACCCAGGTACATCTCACAGGGCGTGAAGACTATTTTGCGAGAGGTGTCCTACTTCTTTGAGTTGTTTGGCCAATTCACGTTGATTCTTTGTGCGGGAGACAACCAGAGACACCTCACCATGAATGCGAGGGCTTTAACACTCAGTTGTGGTGTGCGACGCAGATGCTGAACTGCCACCCTCTGGCCACCTCGCAGATCAGTTTCACAAATCTCTTCGTGATCCACTATCCCTTATTACCCCCCAAAGCACTGGAGTCACAGGCATATGTCACCACTCGTGGTTCAAAAGACATCTTCTTACGAGACCAACGATGACTCGCAAATTTCAGCCAGACGTTAAATGCATAATCAGCACTGCCTGCAACATCACAGGGGGTTCTAAGATCATTACTTTATAATAATGATAACAAAACATGCATATAAATCGTTTATCTGAATAGACCATTTACAGTGTATTAAAATTATATACAAATCATATGCTACACTATGGGGACCTCATTTGCCAGTAAAAATATGATAATTGGTTTTTTACCCTTCTATCTGGCAACAAAACTGACACCTTTTTGCAAGGAGTCATGTTTGCATAGACCGCAATACCTGCAGTCATAATACAAACAAAAGAACATAACTCTGATAATGTGCACTGTCCCTGAAGTTGATTGGTCCACACCCGAGACAGCTTTCCTTCGAGCCTAGTCTCATATGGGTTGGACCAGATGACGCCAAAAGGCGCACAACTCAAGGACAATGCACCATCAGAGTATGATGGCGTCATCTGGTCCAACCCATATGAGACTAGGCTCGAAGGAAAGCTGTCTCGGGTGTGGACCAATCAACTTCAGGGACAGTGCACATTATCAGAGTTATGTTCTTTTGTTTGTATTATGACTGCAGGTATTGCGGTCTATGCAAACATGACTCCTTGCAAAAAGGTGTCAGTTTTGTTGCCAGATAGAAGGGTAAAAAACCAATTATCAAATCATATGCTAGTGGTACTTTTAGGATTGTGGTGTGAAAACTATTATACAAACGAGATACAGAGAATGGAAAACAATACAAAGGAGGGAGCAAAATAAGACAATAGGGCGTTGATTATTGAACACAATTGTGACCCTGAATGGTGAAAAGTCATCGAATAGCTTAGGTTTTGGTTGAATTTTTACCTGCTTACCGAAAGATGTGAGTGCCGGTAGAGGCTACCTCTTGCCTATTGGCTAATAGGCAATCACGAATGTCCCACGAATGTCCCACAGTGTGACTATTGATCTCCAATCTCAAACCATGCATCACACAGAAACACCACTTCCCATTTCGATAATTCGCTGGCAGCGTTTTGGATATTCACCATGATGCTGCTCCTGAAGCTGGCTCACTCCCCAGCCTTCCCACGAACACAGACACGTGGCTGATCATCTTCCCGCCGTATGAAAGGAGAAGAATCGGTGTTGGTCGTCGTATTTGTTAACGTGGATGTGACTTACCAGCTCCACCCGCTGGGAATGCGTCCGTTTTTATTGAAGCACTTGAGGGTGATGGACTTTCCTGGCCTGACCAGGGCCTCCGGAGGGTTCACAATGGCGGTGTCGGAGACTGCCAAAGAGAAAATTATAAGAGGTGTTGATCAACTTAATTAACACGTGGGTGTCACAGGATGTTTTGTTGTTGGCTTTGTGTGAAGTTGTGTAAACGTTATTTCAGCATATCATGGCATAAATAGTGTATTAAATATTGTGCATTTTTTATATTGTGGTTGCTATGAATGAGCTGACGGCTGAGAGATTTGATTAAAAAATTACTCACTGTACACAGAGCTTGTGTTCGCCACCTTCAAAAAAGGAACATCATCATCATCACCACCATCATCATTTCTATATCATTTTCGTGTGCTGTTGTCATTATTTCATGTGTGGTTGTTAGTATGTGTGTATTATCATAATTGTCATTAATATAAATATATACATTCCAGCTGATTATCAATCCACCAATGGAAGAAGGCTTCCCCGCGCTATGTCGACCATACTTCTCCAGGCCAGTCAATGTGGGAATAAAACTTGGGTCGCCGGGTTCATAGCGCAGCCCACTAACCACTGTGCCACTGCACAGGTGACCTCATTGCAAACGCCACATTTTTTACCACCTCGGCACCGCACCTCACCCTCACCTAGGCAAGCAAAGTTAGAATAAGGCTCTCATTAACACATTCCTGCGGAGGGAGCTGGTAGGAACGTTGGGTTGCTCGGTCAATGGCCAGGGTCAACGGCAGCGTGGTGTATTCCGCAAATATGGCCGACTGTGAGGGCGGGCACAAGCCGGCGTGAGTAGGTTAAACGTTGAGTTTTATAAGGGCACCACGCACGAGGTGACCAGTCACTCCCCACCCAGCCCCACCCCTCCCACCCCCCACCCAGCCCCACCCAGCCCCACCCTCCCCACCCAGCCCCTCCCCACCCACCCAGCCCCTCCCCACCCAGCCCCTCCCCACCCTCCCCTCCCCACCCAGCCCCTCCCTCCCCACCCAGCCCCTCCCTGCACCACGGACACAATAACCCCTTGTGGGCTGGTGTAACCAGGAGGTTCCTACCAGTATTACTATTGTAGAGGAGTATTGTGAGTAACCAATGAGGGGGAAAACAGAAGGAGGTGCTAACGGGTTGACAGTCAAGGATGACGTAACGTCACGGGTTATGCAAGGGGCTTTGGGAGAGCACCTTCGGGAACGTGGGCGGAGCCGAGCTGGGGGAAGGAGCCGCCCAAGGGGTTCTTAAGGGGGACCCCGTGACGGAGGGGGGGTCGTCGTAGGGAGCTAGGGTAAGGGTCGGCTGGAAGAGGGTCTCTCTCTCCTCGTTGCGGAGCGGTGTTGGCTGAACCCCCGCTCTGGGCAGACGAGTGGGAGAGTCCATAGTGTAGCCGAGGAAGGACCCAAATAGTATTCAGTGTCCGGGGTAAAGGACCGAAATGGAGTGCATCTACACTGGTGTGAGTGTAGGATGCCGAGTGTGACAGTGTTTTAATAAACGGCAACAGACATTATAGAATTCCTCGTCTCCGCGTGGTTCTACTGCACTACACTATGATCATGCTTGCTTACCCAGGAAAGCCTCAATACATATATCTGGACTGAGTAATTTGCAGCCAATGTTTCAGCATTGGAATATTTGGCCAATATCAGTTTCGTTGTGTGTGTGTGTGTCTTTTAACTATTGTAAAAAAAACCCAATGCAGAACAGGTGGGGAACATACAACCCTCACACAGAAAGGCATGAAAGTTGGGAATCGAACCCAGGACTTATTGCTGTGCGGTGCACGTGTCTCCTCTGCGCCACGCTGCTGCTGCTCTCACCTGCAGTAACACGGCCGGGCAGCGTGACAGGATGAGCGTGCAGTTTGAGAAGACGGCGACGCACGGCTTCACGCACGTGGAGTTGGTGGTACTTCGCGATCACCTCCTGCTGGTCCTGTAGATGTTCAGAGACGGACCAAGGAGTTACAGGTGGTGTCATTGGCATATTTTACGTCATGAGAACGTAGAAATGCGTCGTCATCGCCAGAAGCGGATCTAGAAACTTTCCATGTGGCGGTGGAGGGGTCCCGAAAAATAAAGCTTGTTAATTTTGGCCCTATACATCTATACATACATATTTAATTCATCCCCTCTGATAAATAAAAAATAAACAATATTTGGGGTCTCAAAGGGGAGCGATCGCCCTCATTGCTCCCCCTTGGATCCGTCACTGATCACTGCTGACACCGTGGGCGGAAGGCCTTGAGTGAAGAGAGGCATCTTCTTGGTTCTTTCGGTAAAGTCACGTAGAAGGGAAATAATAAAATAATAAAAATGAAACATAATAAAATAATATTATAAAATAAAATAATTCTCACTATTATTTTATTCTACGTGACTTTACCGAAAGAACCAAGAAGATGAATCCCTGCAGTCACAAAAGCTTTAAATCGAAAAATGAAGAGAGGCAATTGTGTTCCATCAGACTTCCAACGGGTATTTAAAATGAGTGGCATCACAGGTGAGTCTCAGGTGAGCCCGTACCTTGTAGATGGCCCAGGTCTGTGGAACCTGCGAGCAGTCCGAGCGATGGACCATGTATGGACCAGCTCCCTCGCAGTTGTAGTAGTGCTTTGCCTCAATCTGCGGCATCAGCCTGTCTGCAGGGAGTGCGGACACAGGGAAATATTGAAACTTTTAGTGTTGGCAAACAGACCTCCTTTACCAGTGGCAAAATATAGTAGTAGGTTTTTACCCTTTACACTGGTACAAAACTGACACCTTTATACAAGGCATCATGTTTGCAATAACCACAACACAAGCAGTCAAAATGCAAACAAAAAGAAACAACTCTGATATGGTATGCACTGTCCTTGAAGTTGATTGGTCCACACCCGAGACAGCTTTCCTTAGAGCCACGTCTCCATTACTATATTTTGCCACTAGTAAAGGAGGTCTCATAGTGTAAATGCTTACCCCGAGCTCTCAATACTCTGATAGTGCGCTGTTTTTGAATTGTACGCCTTTTGGCGTCATCTGGTCCAACACCAATGGAGACTATGCGCTAAGGAAAGCTGTCTCGGGTGTGGACCAATCAACTTCAAGGACAGTGCATATCATTATCATTATCAGAGTTTCTTTTTGTTTGCATTTTGACTGCTTGTGTTGTGGTTATTGCAAACATGATGCCTTGTATAAAGGTGTCAGTTTTGTATCAGTTTAAAGGGTAAAACCCTACTACTATACATAGGTAGAAAAATACTCCACCTAAAACAGAGTTCAGTTCCTCAGCGAAATGTTTTATTTTACAGGCATAACTCCCTCCTGTCAAAGCCCCATTGGTTATTCCATCAGTGCCTGTGTGATTCATTAAACATTTGACCTATGGCTAGCACAGACGACGATGACGATGGAACAACCCATGGAAGTTTATGTCCATAAAAATTACACGTTTCATGGAGATAACTCGACTGATAGAGGAGTAACTGGCAGACCAATATGACTGAAGTCCAAAGCGTCTGTCAAGAATTAATATTTGGTTCACACCATTGGAACCTCATTCGCCAGTAACAAAATATGATAATAGTTTTTTTTATCTGGCAACAAAACTGACATCTTTTTTTAAAGGTGTCAGTTTTGTTGCCAGATAAAAGGGTAAAAAAACAATGATAATATTTGGTTGTCAGTGTAGACCCACAAACTACTGCCATCATCCTGTGCAAGGTACAGAAAGGCGATTGTAGACACCACGGTTCTCCCTCTGAACAATCAACAACACAGAACAGTGTGCGTCCTAACCACATTTACATTTCACAAGAGAATACTGGATAGGCAAATGTGAGAAGGCTGAGTAGGGAGGGTGAAGACATGCTGGAGAAGTCATTACATTATTAAACACACTGACGCAAGACTAACCTAAGGGAATACCCTGGGATGTGGGGCTGCCATATTTAACGCTCGAGACATCAGGAGTGGCGCTGCACCTGTCGGGAAATGTGTTCAGATGATGTGAACGTAGATCAGTTACATCAGGTACTCGGCGATTCTCAGCTTATCTACACAAACTGAATGTAACAAGTCTCGTCACTATTGCATCGGAACTTGATTTTGTGCAATACAATATTCAACACAATTTTGATTACGTGAATATCGCGTATGAATCTGGCCACGTCCTCGGATGCTGCGCAGAAACAGTGGGAACATTTATTTTGAGGCGGTCGGGCAGTCGTAGGCAGAGGAAAACAGGAAGGCCTTGAGTGTGAACTTGACCAGGGACAGTGGGTGGGCAGCACGAATGGCTGTCGACTCCCCCACCCAATTAATTGTTCTGGCGTCTTTCCGACACACCCAAATGCCCTGAAGCAGTGTACGGCTTAGGAGCCTCGACAGCAGACATGGCGTAAAGTTACACTGCGCTGTTGTGCGACGTCCTTACCTTGCACAGTTTCCACGCCGAGAGTACAGAGGGTCCAGGCTGCGACGAGACCCAACCAGGGTGGCATCCTCTCGGTGAAGAGCCCCCTCCTGCTCCTCCACTCGTACCCCTGGCTGCCTCCTCCACTGAGCTCGCATACACAACCAACCTCTAAGATTTAAACAAAAATACGAACAAAATCATAAATAGAATTTCCCCATCTACGTCAAAACACTCGTTAATGTAATTGGCCAAACATTCCAATGCAGGGACCTTCCCTCCCAAAAAAGAGTCCTGTGACTAAGTGAGGCTTTCTGGGATCGTAAAAGACATTCTCATGACATTGATCGCAGTGGCTATGAATGTCATAAGAAGAAGCACAGTTACAGCATAGGACCCCGGTGAAAATAGTTATGGAATAGGGCCCTCTGTTTAATTGTGCCCCTTCTTCATCGCCCGGCGGCCCCAGCCCGTAGGGCCCCTTTCGGCCAGCACGCTCCATGGCTACGCCACTGCGTGCCAGGAGCGTGCCAGGTGGGTGCCAGGTGTCAGAATGAGAGGTGTGCGATTCGGGAGGGCCACTCACCAGAGGACGGATGGAGGAACTCCGTGGCGCACGCAAGAGATGCTTCCCAGAGAGACGAGCTGATGTGGCACAAGCGCGGGTCCCCTCTCGAGCGAATGCCTCGGATGCTTCGTTGACGTGACCAGCACTGACACCGCCAGTGCCCCACCCCAGCCCAACCGCAAACCCGCCGGGCAGGTTCACCATCGGACTCAGTGCCATGTGTTGCAGTACATTTCCACGAAGTTAACAGAAGTTAACAGAGCTTTCCAACTGAATTTTGCATGAATCTCAATGTTGTCTTACAGCACTCCGGGAACTTTTGTTGCTACGACATCTTTTGCATAATAATGTATTGCACTATAACATTTGTTCAATGTTCTGCACAGTATTTTTTGTTTCCAGGTCTCCCAGTGGAAAATAGACTTCTGGTCTCATCGGAAGCGCACAGTCTTCTTGTAAATCCACTACTGGATGTGCGTTGAACTTCTTTCGTACCGTACGTAGCCAACCGCGCTAATCGGAGGTGCGGGGGAAGGACAGCAATCTAAACACAAACCTGTCAAACCCATACGGTTTACCCGTATTTTTGTACGGAGAAATTGAGTTCTCAGGTCCATACGGCGTACAGACGTTTCAATACGAGCAACAGAAATAAAATAAAATATTTGGTTGTCTATTTGTGTCTCTCCCTTGTGATGGGACTTTGTAGGATGAAAGATGAGATTTCTAAGGGCAGGGGGTGAGGGGCCGCCCATAAATGACGTCACGCACCTAGGGGGGGGGGGGGTCAGACATTTGTGACGATGTGTGACGACGGGGGGGGGGGGGGTGAGAAATGTGACGTCACAGCAAAATGCGCAACTTTAAATAAATATATACAACACGTTCTACTTAATTAAATAGACTTTTAAATACATGTTTTCTCCTACAACATCAGAGTGCAGTGCCACATTAAATATGCACTACAATGACAATAGTTTAAAGCGATTTGAAGCATGTTTTATTTTTTGGGGGGGCAGAGCTTTGTGACGTCATATTTGAGGGGGGGGGTCTGACTTTTTGTGACGCCTTGTGATGAGGGGGGGGGGTCAAAAATCGTCCAAATCGCGTGACATCATTTATGGACGGCCCCTAAGGAGTTTACAGGCATGTAAAGACAATGAAGACCTCCCTACGCGGAGTTGGTCGTGAAATGTGTTTGACCATACTTCACCACACTGGTCATTGAGGCGTATGGGAGGGGGTAGTTATTTACAACGTTGGACCGACGTAGGGCCAACTTTGGCTGCCGATCTTAATGTATCCAACCACATCCCAACGTCGCACCAACGTCATCATGCCTACTTGGTGGTGGTTATTTGCAGGTCCCAGTGTTACAGATCAATGACCCTTCTCTCCTGCATGTAGAACTTTCCCGCTTGTGCGACTGCTTTTTCGGCGGGAGAGTCGGGAGCGAGAGGGAAGAGGAGGAGGAAGATGCAGAGGAGGAGGGGGGGGAGGAGGAGGGGGGGGAGGAGGAGGGGGGGGAGGAGGAGGGGGGGGAGGAGGAGGGGGGGAGGAGGGGCGGGGGGGAGGAGGGGGGGAGGAGGGGGAGGAGGGGGGGAGGAGGGGCGGGGGGGGAGGAGGAGGGGGGGAGGAGGGGCAGGGAGGAGGAGGGGGGGAGGAGGAGGGGGGGAAGGAGGGGTGGGGGGAGGGGGAGGAGGGGAAGGACGAGGGGGAGGGAGGAGGAAGGGGGGGAGGAGGGGCGGGGGGGGAGGAGGAGGGGGGGAGGAGGAGGGGGGGGGAGGAGGAGGGGGGAGGAGGAGTGGTGGGAGGAGGAGGGGGGGAGGAGGAGGAGGGAAGGGGGGAGGAGGAGGGGGGGAGGAGGAGGGGGGGAGGAGGGGGGGAGGAGGAGGAGGGAAGGGGGGAGGAGGAGGGGGGGAGGAGGAGGGGGGGGGAGGAGGAGGGGGGAGGAGGAGGAGTGGGGAGGAGGAGAAGTGGGGAGGAGGAGGAGTGGGGGAGGAGGAAGGAGGAGGAGTGGGGGAGGAGGAGGAGGGGGGGAGGAGGGGGGGAGAAGGGGGGGAGGAGGAGGAGGGGGAGGGAGGAGGAGCGAGGAGGAGGGGGAGGGAGGGGGAGGGGGTGGGAGGAGGAGGGGGAGGGAGGGAGGGGGACGACGTCGACTCCGGGCCACGAGGTGGCGCTGCTGCCCGGGCAGGGACCGGAGGCCGTTGCTTGGCTGCGCTGCCGTCCGGGGCCTCTGCTGCTGCTGCGGCTACTGCTGCTGTTGCTGCTGCTGTTGTTGTTGTTGCTGCTGCTGCTGTGAAGGGAACCTGAGCTCCATTGCCCTGTCCCCGGCGAACATGGACGCGGTAATCGTCTCTGGGGCCGAGGAGGACGGGAAAGAGGAGCAGCAGCAGGAGCAGGAGGAGGAAGAGAAGGGGCCTCCATCGCGGAGCTCGCCGGGGCTGCACGGAGACCGAGGCCGCTCAGCTGATGATGGTGCTGATGGTGCTGATACTGATGCTGCTGATGCTGCTGATGGTGCTGATCCTGCTGATGATGGTGCTGATGGTGATGGTGGTGCCCACCTCGGCTGCGGCACGGACATACACAGGTGCTGCGCGTGTTCTGCTGCCACCGTGAATGTCGCGTTGACTTCGCGTGCCGGCTGCTCTCTGTCTCTGTTCTCTCTCTGCAACGTGACAATGGAGGTGTTTGGCACGAGTGGCAAGGGCACCTGGTGTTTGGTGCATGAGACTCGGCTTCAATGTCCTCTCGCCTGGTGATACATAGACACCATGTGTTCTGGAGCGTGCCTGTGAGCCCTTTGAGTCGTAATCGAGGGTTACCTTTATGGGCTGTTAATAGAGGACGTTCAGTGGGTGATGGGGTGGACTGTCAGGGGTCCTTTGAGAAACGCTTTGACATGTCTCATGGGGTCCTCATCTGGCTATAAATGAAATGATGTTGACTGACTGGATCCCTCTGCAGCTGTAAATCGAACTATCTAATTTTGCCCTCATCTGGTTTTATGTAAATTATGCTGAATGCGTTCTAGAGCAGCATGTGGGATATTGGTGCCACGATGAGATCCGTCTCAATGTGCTCTCGCATGGTTACACAAAGTTAAGGATGCTTGACTGGTATAAGCCTGACTGGGGTAAACAAACAGCACGAAAAGTGATTTATGCAACCGGCCTGTGGAGTCAGCTCATAGCAAGGGAGGCACTTGGAGTGTTGTCTCCATGAGTTCTCGCCCAGTGGCGATTCTAGTCCACGTTAAACTGGGGGGCACACATACATATTTAAAACTATCCGTGAACATTCCAGTGGTTGTCCTATAGATACACTCGCCCCCCACCATAGGAATGTGTAATTTCCACCATTGGCTCAGGGCAGTGAATTGGAGATGTAGCAGCGCCTCAATGCTCATTGGAGCAGGACATCACTTTGCCTTTTGAGTGGAAAATTTCAAATGTGGGATGAGACTGCAAGAGCAGACCTAGGACGTCAGGTGTCCACTGTGTAATTGCTGGTGGGATCAATCAACAGGAAGCCACCGTGTGGTGGCATCAACAGCATTGGCCACGATGACCTCTTTAATATGAACACGAGGGACTTCCCAAGCCACAACCCAGTGGGGGGGGGGGGGGCTGCCTGTGAACAGGAGTGGTGGGTGGGGAAGCATTGCTGTTCATTAGCAGTGCATGGGCTTCCATAGCTTCCTCCTAGCTGGGTACGAATGAGTGATGCTGAGTGAATTCTGGAACTGACTCAAGGCATCTGAGCCAACTCGTGTTTACGAGGTATGTAAAGTGATGCATATGCCCCCAAGAGATTTGGTGACTTGTCAAGATTCACAGTTGTAATTTGACCCAATAATTTATTTTATTTCTGATATTTTGTCACCATCTAATTCGTATTGTTTCACATTTTCCGTCTCCTTTGTATGATTGTGTTCGCTTCATTAGCCTAAGTGTAACGTTAAAATATATTTTAAGTACAATTAAAATACAATTCTAATTCAGCAATCTATTATCACGCTCACGATTCAAGGTATTGTATAGTGGGTGCAGGAATCTTCTGTGATTGATGAGTCTGCATTGTTACGTAACCAGTGTTTAGTATTGGAGGGTGTTGGTATCGAAGCTCCTGTACTCGCGAGCTCTTGCCACCACCACGAGGCGCCACAGCGGAAAGGGACCCGTTGGATCGCACTGAGTGAAATGCGTTGTGACACGTTCACGCGTTACCACGAGAACCATTTTTTCATGAATCTCTCTTTTACGTTAAAGAGGCAACTCACATGGACACCCGTGAATACGTTTCCCAATTTAAACAACTGCAGAACATTTCTCATAAACAGACTAACCCTGTCATTGTTGATGAGAAAACAATGGCAATTGCATCCGCTGTAGAAATGTGCGAAAGACGGTCCAAGCACTTTCACTGCTCATGCAGTAGAGCAGTAGACTCTCAGTGATTAGAATGTTAAAAAAAAACGGCTTCAGTTCTTGGAAAGAGGCCCATATAGCCATTTGGCTGCGCAAAATCACGTGCTCCAGTGTCTCTTCTTTTTTCTTAAAACAGATTGATGCAGCTGGCGTAATGTTCTGGGATTTTAAAATATCCCTGCACCGATTACATACCCTGCAGTTTTGAGCAGCCACACCCAAAAACTAGCAGAAAAAAATACATTTTCTGAACTGATTTCGAAGTGACACACAACAATAACCAAGTTACAGCCTGCCAGCACCTATCTTCCCTAAACCCCTTCCCCAAACAAAACCAATTGATCCTTCTGCATTAGATTGGCTGTAAATCTCTGGTGCTCTGCATTTTACAATTTACTGCAGCCAAGGAACAGTGCATCAATAACGTAAGTGTTTTGTATCCCATTCTCCGATATATGTAAATGGTGAGATATTTATTTCTCACATTTACAAAGTTATTTTTTTTAAATACAGTATTTGTAGATCGGAAATATATAGCTAATTCTGAATACGTCAAGTATACTATGGTAGCACTGGATTACATTGTATTGTCAATTGAGCAACTTTAATCATGTCACATGATTTATTCGAGCCATTCATGTAATTCATTTATCCAATGGCAATCGAAGCAG